TTTTAGATACTCGATAGCCAGAGAATAAAGAGACAACCCTTCGATGATTTGTTACCTTCTACTCCCATTTCCAAAATAGTCCAACAAAATATCTCGAAGAACAAGTGTACAATTTCGGACAAGAATATATTGATAGTTGTATAGGATATCGAATTCTCTTCTCGATATGAATTAATAAAATATAATATTTCGATTACTTAGTTTAACATATACAAATAAGCCAATCCTTAAATACAGATTCCCGAGGCTTTAGTGATCCCGAACTCCCAGTGATCTAGCTACAACCAGCCACTCGATTACCGCATGGTATCATTTCCTAGCCACTGCATTTCAGATACTACTGAACCTCGTTTCCCCTAGCTGAGCTTAATCGTATGCAATAGAAACAAGTAAATTGATCTTGATGATCAAACTAGAAATCTAAACCTTCATACATACGAAGTCTAGATTTCCAACACAATAGGTATGAGTATAAACAGAAGACGTTGCGTGAAGAAGAATACTCCTTCACGCTGGGTATATATGTACATCAGATAATAGGACATCCCTAAGCTCTGTCTCGAACAGTATTACTACGCAATCCCTATGAAACGACCCTATGTTCCTGAGCCTGTCCTAATTGTTTGAGAACTTGATTTAACCCCGAGTTGTGTTTTAGAATGGAACTCCCCACGAGACACCATCCTAGTTTCCGCCACGTTTATCCATGAAAACTTTCTAGACTTGGTAGGAAGAGCCAGGTAATCTCGGCTGTCCGATCGGTGGTATCCCCACAGTTGCGGCACTTTGTATACTCTTTGCATTCCGACGTGAAGTGCATTGTTGAGGTGCAGTTCCAGCATACTGGGGTGCGCGAGCAACTTTGAGTTTCGTGGTATAGGAGATATCGCTTGCATTGGCTCACAGTTGGGCTGGGCTGATACCGAACAGCGATTCCTGAGTCGTCAAATAGTCGGAATCCCAGCCGAGAGACGGACGCTCTTTCGAAGTAAGCCACTCATGTCTGGTAGGGGAGTCCGACTCGTCCTTTTCCGTGAGGGCGGACCCTTGCCGGAACTTTATTGGTGACTCGGGTGATTTTGTCGGCCACCATCTCGTCGGTGACAGTTACTTTTCCCAGAAGTGTATGAATAGCGACTGGAAATTTCGCAATACAAAGGGCCATTAGATCGGAGATCCTCTCCAACTTTGCGTCTAACTGGACGAACGATGCAGCAGAGTTTATAAGGAACTGTCGTAATTCCTGGTTTTTGGCTCGATGTGCGAAATCAGTGAGAACACTGTATACGTGTTTGTGACAAAAACCGAGTTGGTGATGAATAAGTCGATTTATTAAACTATATGAGGAGAGAAGAGAAGTCTAGCTACAACTAACAGGTACTTATAATGACTGATCCGCTGCGTGTATCTACTAACTTATGGCTTTCCTCCAGACATCATACTCGCTAACTAGCCACGTATCGTTGGGTGTTAGTTGTAACAGCGATCTAGCGTCCTGATTAGTATTATCGTTTCGTCTAGTTCCATCTTCCCCTTCTCGTGCGACCTTATTGTAAACAATCTAAGTATTACGCTTAGGTATCCACCTAAGCTCATACAACGGTTAAACCGTGACAGTGTTCAATGTTTTGTGAGGGGATCTCGAGCACTTTTGCTGCCGCATCTCGCGCGCCAGGCGTGGTCTTTGCCGAGCCGAAGAAACAAACGATCGTCTTGGGCGGCTGTTGTCGTAGCCTTTGCTGGAGGTTTCTTGTGGACTCGGACGTCTTTCATTGGTGCTGCGGGCGTCTTAAGTCCAGTGCGGGTAACTGTCGCCCAGGTAGGTTTGACCTGAGTCACCTTGGCCTGGGTCGCTTTTTGTAGCAGCTCTGGCTGCTTTTCAATCGTTTTTTCCACGATCTTTCGGCCATGATTCTGGCAGTTTGGTCGTGGGGGGAGGTTGGGAAGGACTGTTCCTTGTCCCGACATCATTAATTGAGCTATTGCAGCTCGGAGGTAGACAATGATGAAGTCTATAAATTGTACGCTCGAACCTTTGGATAGAGGTGAGAGCGCATTCTCCACACCATTGATAGTAGCGTTGCATATTTTGAGATTAGTTGCGGTCTGGGCCGCTCGCTGTTCTACGACTTCAAGTATGGCTCGAAGCTCGGGAGGACAAGTCGCAGTGTTCTTGAGGCTACTATCGCTGCAAGAAGTTTGGTTTTTACCAATTTCCCTCGGAATAGTATTCTGAGGGGTTGTGGTTGACGCGGCTCCGTCGGCCTTTTTGGCGTCAAAATTAGATGTCCACTTCATGGCTGGCACAGCAATCTTCCTTTTGTTTATTCTGACGGGGGCCTCTGAGGCCTGACCATCTTCGGGCTCCTGTATATTCCACCGCGAGCTCTCAAGACCCTATTTGATATATTGACTGATGGCTGCATCACCCATCTCAATATCTAGGTTTATGGAGTTCGAGTCTTCTTCGAAGGCTCTTATCCTTTCGGCTATGTCCAATTCCATCTTTCGCCCGTCTATCGAGCTCAATGGTATTCTTTTGCGTTCCAAGCGCTTTATCAGCTTGGAATTAATTCTACCCATAATTCTTTTATAGCGAATAAGCCGCGATGATCTGGCAGGTCCCGGAGACATATTGAAAATCCGGGTTCTTGCTACTATGAGAAGTCGAGTTGGTGTAAATGTATGCAAACCAAAAGGTAAGGGAGATGATTATAGGGTATCTCATCGATTTTCTCTGAGTTATTCAGGAATGGTGGCACCGGTCATGTGTCATGCCTAGATAGCTGAATACTCATTAAATGATTTAAAAAAAATGTTCTCACATGTATTTTATGTGTTTTTTTGGAATTTGATTTCATTTAACCCGATCCGGCACCCTATGGGTCCATGCAGGTGACTAACTTCGTTACGTGCAAAGGAGGAGACCAATTTAGTGAAAACCCCCTGACCCTGCCTTTTGATATTACTATCAACTTGTTCTGTGTACCTGCGGGAAGTGCAGTTCACTCTGTTCGGCCGGCGTGAATTCCTTTCTCTCCCCTTTCCAAATTGATTTATTATATCCGACATTGCTACCTCAACTTCCCTGGAAGTCGAAACTGTTTTATCCATCCTTTGCTTAGTGTCCACTGCGTGATTCTAGCCACATCTTCTGGGCTGTTAATCGTTGCTTCAATTGAACTGTCTTTAGCTAGTCAGAAAACGTTGCATCTTCCACTTGCCTACTGCGGACACGCCAACAACATGTGCGAAACATTTTGTGACAGATATCCACATTGACAGATTGGCTTTTCTACTCCGGGTACTTTTCTTCCGCACAGGTAGAAATTGAGGCCAATATGCTCGCTTCTTAGCTGAATGGCGACACTGCTTTAGGCCCTGACGGGTTACGGTGAATTTTTGAGGGTGCATCGTTGAAATTCATTTTTGTGCTGCCTGTTTGTTCATCAGTAAATATATTTTCCGCTGTCCAATATTCTGTATCGGCTGATGCTAGTCGGCCAGGACGCTGTTTCCTGTTCTGGCTTGCCCAAGAATTCTTCCACACCTGAAAGGCCGCTATCTTTCCAGCTTCTGCCTGTATTTTATGTATTTATTTTATATTTAGGCTCATAGGCTATCTAACACATTGAGCTCCTTTCTTACCCAGGCCACACCTTTTTTTAATTCAAAGTGTATTCAGCTATCTAGCTATGACACATCATTTACATAATTTATATCCCCAAACTTCCCAACAAATAATTTACTCAACTGCTTGTTAAGTTCCAATTTATGTTTCCTATTTCCATATCCTTTGTGTGCTACCATACACTTAAATGTGTCCAAATATTTAAGAAGAGCTTCATTTCCTATCTTTGTTTGAAATAGTATTTGAAGTGTTCTTGGTTCTGTGCATTGAAAACATCTTTTTCTTTTGTCACTGAATTTAGGACAACAAGAGGCCATATCTTGTACAATGCTCATAACCTCTTTTGTTACTCGAAAGATCACTGGTATATTTCGCGCAATGAATAGCCATTCAGCTCAGTATTTACCCGTGGAATTCAGCCACCTTTTCCACGGAACCTTCTACCCAAAAAAAATAAAAATGGTAGCAATGGAAACTGCGTGCGCAGGAAAAAGTCTCAAAAAACCTGCAGCCCCAGCCAGGCGAGGCCTAGACACCGGGACCACATGAGGTGCACGTATTCATCTATATCTCCCTTCTTTGTAACATTAGAGGCCAACTTGGTGCTATCCGCCATCGCCGTATCGGATGCTTGGTACGCTCCGGAAACTCAACTGGCTCATCCATGATCAAGGATGAGTGATAAATAGGGCTTCAACCCTACCATCTGATCTGATCGTGGTTAGCTTCATGATAATGGTGATAGGGGAATGTGTTGAGAGATGAAGACGATACAGACGGCGAAATCGACAGGGAAACCGTATCGGATAAGGGCTATGTTATTCAGTATCGGCTCTGCAGACTCTGCGGTTAGAGCTGGAAGTTGGTATGGGACACTACTGACAGGTATTGAGGGTATTCCCCCTACTGTGTTAGATTCATTGCCTAGTAGATACTTGCATGTTAGATTATTTGAGAAAACATATATTAAGTGTCGTTGTTGCTAAGATCGAAGAAAATACAGCTATATTTTCAATCAAACTCAACGTAACAAATCGATTTTGTCTCTGTTTTTAAAACTCTGACCATCATAAGAGACGGTTTAAGATAGGGTAGATTAGTGTTACATCATTAACAATGAAAAATGCGTACATGTTGAGAAGAACAACATGCGTCGGTGTTTAATCTAACCCGATGTCTTTTTATATCTCAATCTTTTTAAATCAGCTGAATAAATTCTATCAAACACCTGTTGTAAAGTCTTTACAAAGTCAAATGTCACCTCGTTCTATTTCTACTACATCATTCTGATCATGGCATTTTAGCCCTTTTTGTCAACGTGAGTTAACAGGTTATATATTCGACTATTAAAATTTAAGTTTTGACATGCTCACTGCTGGCTCTGCAACATTGCGATGCGGTCATTCCAACTACCTAGCCATTTCCAACTCTGCACAAATTCTTTGAGATTATCTAGCGCCATTCTCACCCTATCATCCGGATCATTATGTATACTTCCCTCAAATTCGAGAAAGAAGATATACTGAAATGGTATCTCCATTGTTGGTAGGCTAATAATATTAGTCAGGTTGACCGAATTTATAGCAAAACACTGCAAGGTAGATGCAAGAGCACCGGGTACCTCGTCGTCAATTATTAAGGAAATTATAGACTTAGTTTTAATGGAACTACCCGCTTCCATATCGACTCCTTTACACAATACCACAAATCGCGTTGTATTGTCATCTCGATCTTCAATTCCTTCGGCAAGAATATCAAGGCCTTGGATTTCTGCTACAAGCCCACTCGAAATGGCAGCACTTGTACCAGTAACATCTGCTCTCGCTAGTTCTGCGGCGCGGCTGGTTGAATCTACATTGATACGTTCTATATTTTTGAGAAAAGCCGCCAGAAAAACTTCACACTGTCCCCATGCCTGTGGATGGCTAAAAATACGCTTAATATGTTTGAGACTGCTAATAGGGGTTGTTCTAGGTAGATGCGGTAACGGGATTGACCTGGTAGGAGTGCTCATGCCAGATGCGAGAGGAGAGTCAGTAGGCTGGTGAGCAAGCTTTCGTCCCAAAAGGCAATGGCTCACTCTGAGGTAAGCTTCATCGCAAATCTTGACATCTGGAAATTTTTCCTCTCGGTCTGCCATTAAGTCGAAGGTGATATTTACGGCTCCATTTGTAGAATTTTCTATCGGCACTACACCTAATGAAACGTCTTCTAAATAAACAACCTCAAATACATCTATAACCTCCCTTTTGGTCAGAGACTGTATGAGTTTTGAGCCTAGAAGTTTACCTGAGATACTTGATGCTGGTACAAGATTGTAATGGTTTTGATTGAAACATGCAATTGCAGCCTAAAGATGGTTAGGAATAAACAGTTCAGTTGATCATCGATATACTTTAGAAGAAAAGTAAAAGCTTGAGGATAGATGCACCTGGTGTGTGAACGAGAAAGCAGGGCCTAGATATGCCACTAGAGGAACGGCCCGCTCCTTTTGAGGCTCAGAGTTCTTTATCAACATTGCAAGGCGGGATGGTGGTATTGACAGAAAGACGAAAAGTGTGTCAAACGACTTTGGATGAGCCCAGGTGTGGACGTTGAATCTATTTTTCTAGACGTGATCTAGGTTCGAAAGGTCTATGATAAAGTTCCATGCAGGTACAATCTTGTCCGTGATAGTGGAAGGCATAGCCGCCTGCAGGCTCCCCCGTTAGCCTCTCCGGTCAGTAACTTCTTATCTTGGCCCACACCATCTCCAAAAACATATATTACGGTACTAATCACGTCATGACGTGAATTGTATATCTACAAGCTCTTCATGGCAGCGCATGATAAACACCGTATCATTTTGGCAGGTGGATATGACTCAATCAAAAAAGGTAGAAACGTGCTTAGGATGTGTTCATCATAGCAGGTTAATTTGATTGGCCAAAAGGTAGGGCTGGAGCAAGATTTATATTTGTCCCCGGACAGATGTTGTGAGGGAGGTATAGGACCAGTTTATTCCCCGATGCGAAAATACTCCTAGGCCACAGGCAAAAATGAACAACATATCTTCACAGCCTTGACTTGCATAGGTAGAGGGCAGGTCTGAACACCTGTACGCAATGTCCTCTGCGAAACTAGTACTGCAAATTCCTCCTGAAGCCAAGTTCAGTCAAGTTTCGCAATACCGAAGAAGTTGGCCCACGAGGCAATGGTTCAAGATACTCCACTTTGATAATCTTTGTTCGGATTAGGTCCTAGTCAACGATTTCTAGCCTGATTTTGCTAGGATGCAGGCTACTATCGCATCTATTCATGGGGTCACAATCAGGGTTGTGAGTAGTTTCGCTTTGGTGTGGGTTTGTAGTTTGATACCTGAGCCTGTCGCATGGTAATCAGGCATTTGGTACGAGTGGCAATAAACACAGTAAACCACAACACCAAAACGATGAGATAAATCAAGTCTTGTATGCTAAGCCCTGTTTTGCTAGCGTCGATGGAAGATGGGGATTTACCTGTAGATAGATAAAAACGTTGTAGTGGAGGGCAAGACTGAACACCTGTACGCGGTGTCCTCTACGAATCTGGGAGTGAAAATTTCTTCCAGAGCCAAGTTCAGTCAAATTTCGCAATATCAAAGAAGTTGGCCCACATGGCAAAAATCCAAATTACTCCTCCATGTCGTTTTTTCGCTCCCAACAAGTTTGACTCCTACCGAAGTCTCATCAAGCCTTCAAGTACGACCAAGTAAATCCTCACCCCAATGACCACACCTCTCTTCGACCTTCTCTGGTCTCAGTTAATCACCAAATACACGCCCACACCGATATTTACACCCGACGGAGGAAGCAAATCGTGGCGCACAAATCTGGGAGACAGTTCTTTGGGATGGACGTGGGAAGGATCAGGATAAGATGACAAGATGATGCGAAGGAAGGATATAACATCGAAGGGTGTGAGATTCCGAAATTTGGCAAGGAGTTTTACGAATTGGGCTTTGTGCGTGCCAAGACTTCGCTTGCGAGAGTGCAGCTGATACTATAAAAACAAGCCGACGATGGGTCAGCTTAGGCGAATTCTTCACCTGCCAGTGATGCCGGTGTAATCGCTCAGTATTCTCTGCATATCTGGGATAGCCAAGAAGAATCGCATCCCAACCGAAGTCGAAAGCAAACACATGCATATCTCCATTTGACGACTTCTCAATCATGCATCACTCACCATTATCTTCTGAGTCCTCAACCTCTTTCTAACCATACATCATCTAGCCTCGCCGACCGATAAAGGCGTCACCCCAATTGCAAATAGGAGCTTGCCCCCACCATTACCGGCCATCACTCACTGCAAATTTACGACGCTATTTATACCCGCAAGGAGGAAATTAAGTCATAACATACAAAGTTGGGGTCTTGGTTTATGGGGGACTGATGCTCTAATGGGGTTATACATCTTCAGGAAGGACAGGCTGCTGAGATGTGGAGCGAGAGGGGAACAGGTCTTTGAAGACCATGCTGAGACTGACATTTTCGAGGAGTTTTCAACTTTGGAACGTTTTTGGGCGCCGAGACCAAGATTTCGGCTAACTAGCTAGGAGGAATTCTTTTGTCGATAAGTCAATGGCACTCCACAGGGCCCTGGACGGCACAAAAGAAGTTGGGCTGAGCTGCAATACAGGAATCGCGCTCAGTCAAGACTTTTCTGACATTTCAGCACGACCTTCGGGAAGGAGTTGGAAGGAGGCTAGAAAGGCAGAGGGTGAAGTTCCTGAGGTACCCACATGTCTGCAGCGCCCAGCTGGCCGGCCTCTTCGAACGCTTCAGAAGGGGCAATATGTCTTCGGGTTTAGTCCTAATGTTGGTATTAGGAGATCCCCGCACCCAGTGGTTTTTACAATTTTTCCCGGCTACCATACACCCGCAAATGGCCATCGTTTCGTTGGCTGGAGAGGGGAGATAATGAAGGGCTAAGGCCTCCTCTTAGTGTATGATCGAATGAGGACTTATGAGGGGTAGTACTGTTTGAGGGGAGCTGTATGGGAGGCATAGGAGGGGATATACTACTGGTATAGGTACCCTTAGCCTGTAGGCAGAGAGGACCTGCATGTCCTACATAGTCATAGACTCAGACAGGACACAAATGAAATAATAATGAAGTCCTCGGATCGACTGGATCTACATCAAAGCCACCAGGATTATACGCCTCCCCCATATATTCGCTATTAACTCAGCCCAAAGCGTTAACGGGACTTCTTCATGCCCATGTTTATAAATAAAGGATTCGAGACGATGTTCTCCGTAGCTGCAGTCATTTTGTGTTTTATTAACTAGGCTGTATGGGAGCAGGACGATTGATACTCTTGGGGAAATTATGCTCACAGTAGGTCTGTATAATCGCTGTCGCGTGTGTTCTCGTGATACATAAGACTTGAATCTATATTCTCGTGAAAAAAGAATTGTGTCCAGCGAATGGACAGAGGTTGAGACCTCTTTATATCTTGCTCTAGACTTACTGTGTTGTTCACAGCCTAGTGCTAGAACATTCCCTTGTGATATCATTTCTCTCCTTCGACAAATGACCAGCTCGTTCTCCTTCAGTCCATTAGTCTCTCGCTGATTCCATTGTCTCTATTCTATCGAGTTCTAGTTTGATCCATAATACCCTCACATGCATTACATACTAAACACCGGAGGACGAAAGCTGAACACCTGTCGGTGATGTCCTCTACGAACCTGGGAGCGAAATATTCTCCCAGAGCCAAGATTTAGTCACGAAAAAGGGTGGAATGAATTTTATTTGATGGATTTTCGACTTGAAGGAGTTGCACTTGATATTTTGGTAGAAAAATCAGCCGGCAGAGATTTCACAGCCGCAACAAAAATGAACAAAAACTCATCACTACCAACATACGATTCACGAATGGATTTAGGTCTGTCTGAGGGTTGTATTCTGTTAGACATTCTGACTCTCAAATTTAGGACTCAACCACTACCTGTTTCGTCTCAGGTTCCCGACAAGATCGACTCTCTCTCTACAAATGTCCCGAGTACGCTAATCGCGCCTACTGTCGCCTATACGTTTGGATATTTACGTACTACAGTGTATCTTGGCTCATCATGGTAGATGAGAGGTGGCTGGTCATCACTAGGTTTGACAGGCACACGAGACTAGTGGGAATTTCTCCCCTAAGATGTATATGTAACTCCAATGTTCCCACAGTTGTAAAATATCAAGTCTTCTTTACTTCATCATATTTATCCATATAATATCGTACAGAGTATATTTCCCAACATATTCACACATCCGATATCTCTCAAACTCCTTATATATCTAGGACGTACCATTTCTCAGTCGATCCTATACCTGCGACCCACTTCCATACTCGTCCAATCACCTACCTACACACGCCCTAACGAGGAAAATCATTGTTGGAATTTCGCACCTGTTGCTTACTCTAGAGCTACACAATCGTCTGTGATGATCGGCAAGGCTGCTTAGGAATAACTTGGCGCACAATCGCACTAGACTGAAATTGGTCTTAGCGCCAGACAAAGAACAAGAGTAATATGTAGAAACCTAGATGCACATTCTTTAACGTTCTGACGAATAATATAATATAATAAGAACGATTTACGTGAATAATTTATCTGACGGAACTACTACGAATTACTTTGAAGCTGTGCCTATATTCTTTGAGTGAGTTTCCTCTTAGAACCCATACAAACTTTCCAACAGTCATGATGGAAACGGGACGTGTACAAAGGAGGAAAAAGAGGGAAGATACACCGAGGGGATTACACAAACCATCAATGACGAAAACAACCCAGCAGTACGATATGAAGGTGCAAGGCTAGAGCAACGATGAGGTCTTGGACGGCATCTACATTTCGGAGTCAATGAAGATGTTAAGGGCTTGGGCGCGTGGTGGCCGAGGCTGAGGAGGAAATTGCGCTACGGCGTGTCGACAGCGGGTTTCTGGACGGTCAGACTTGGTATGATTTAACACATAGGTGAAGTCTGATGTAGTCCGGTCATTAAAGTGGGACGAGGTTTATCTGTACTTCACAGTAGTTAACCTGATACAGCCCGACCCCACTCGTGCTTAAGCTCCAGTTGGAGTGCAACGGTAGTCATGTAACCTAGCACGTTAATGAACAAAACAAAACACCCTAAACACCCTGTCGCGCCTACAGCGTGCTTTTCGACAGCTCCCGGAGTCATCCGAAGAGGCAGAAGGGCTGGCAGGCCCAGTGTACACATCAAGTCTTGGAACGAAAGAAGATGGAGTCAAAGCACACTACAACTGGGCTAGCACTATCTCTCCCTCTGACATTTGCACCTACTCTGATGGATCATCTGAAGGCCATGGACGATCCTCGTGGGGATATGCCCTCCAACGTGGAGGACAAACATTCGCACAAGGTCACGGTCGTCTACATGGCGGTGAACTTTATGATGCAGAAATTGCAGGAGCAGCAGTAGCAATTTGGGAAGCTATGCGCGCTCGAAAGAACCGTGAGAGAATCTTCGTTCTTCTTGACAATCAGGCAGCTGTACTTGCGCTTCGGACGGGGAAGTCATCATCATCGCTACAGATAACCCGCGTCTTTCACAAGTTCGCTTTAGAAGCGAACGTGACAGTGAGATGGGTGCTTGGACATTCTAAAATTAGTGGCAACGAAGAAGCGGACGTAGAAGCCCGAGCCGGTCTTCAGCTGCTGCAAGATAGACAGACGCAGCCAGTGCAGACAACGCAGGCATGTATACGCCGTATGATGCACAATCGCCGACAGAAACTAGTGGAAGACTGGTGGAATAAGTCGGGTCAGGATAGATATCGAGACCTGGACTTACAGATCCGACGTCGGAAACCACCAGAACTAGGTCTTTCTCGACGATTACTCCATAAGCTCCTGGCAGCAAGATCAGGACATGGAGACTTTGCGGATTATCACAGCCGCCTGAACCACGAAGACGCGAAACTGGAACGCTTCTGTGGACAAAGGACAACGCCAACTCATTTTGTCCGATGCAGGAAGAATGCTGCTATAATGCGCAGGTTGAGAAGATCCATGACCGTGGAGGACTATACCAACCTACTCCTTGGACCAGAGGGTCTCGAGAAGTTCATAGAATTTGCAAGGAAAACCGGCTGCTTTGGGAGTATGGATGCAGACCCGCCCTCAGCTGGATGCGAGGGCCGAAGTGATTATTTTTTCAGGACGAGAGAAATGACTGAGGGGGGCATAGGATGAGAAATACTAGCACCGCTCCTACATGTTAATTTGCTTTATTTCAGTTGGTTTTGTTTGCTATTTCTTTTAGTTTTTGGTTATTTGTAGTCAGAGTCACATAATGACAGTGTGGTGGGAACGAGTAGGGCATAGCTATTTAAGATAATCCTTACCGAGCCCACCAGTCCCGTGCCATAAGGCGCTGGGCTGGTGCCTGGGACCTCAAAATCAATCATCAACACACTAAATACCCCACAGTTTAGTTCCAAGGTCACGTGTATATGCTATGACGCGACCTAAAGCATGTACCATGGTAAGTTACATGGATAATACAACATTTTGGAACTGAATTAGCCCACTTAGCGGCATGCGCGCTTCCTTCGAGTAACCAATTTCTTAGGCCTCGCCGGAGAGAAACTAGATTTAATAGAAATCAGCTTTCTCGTCAATATGTAACTCGGCACATTTAAAAATGATTTGGTGGTAAGTTTCATGATTACTGATAACACATTCCACTGCCTAAGCATAGTGCCAAAGTGCGGTATTGATATCGACACAATTATTTTTGATAGTGATGCAAGAAATACACACGTCAGCTTGTCAACTTGAGAAGTATCATTGCATCCGAACCAAATCTACGACTAAAGTCTTGGGTTAGACTCTCGCCAATAACTGTCTCAGGTGTTCCATTTAATAACTTAATCCCCTTTCCACCTAAAATCTCGCTGCTGACCTCTCCACAGACGGACAATGGCGATGCGAGGTTCCTGTCAACAAACAGAAAGAGTAATAATTCTCATGAACCGACTTGGTATCACAATTGCAGATTGCGACATGGTTTGTTGTATCAAGCTCCAGTATAGAAATTTGGGATAGATATGCTTAGGGAGCGCGAAATGTTAGAGATTGTTAAGGATTTCAAGGAAGAAAAATCTTGAAGTGTACAATTTCGGACAAGAATTTATTGATAGTTGTACAGGATTTCGAACTCTCTTCTCAATGTGAATTAATAATATATAATGTTCCGTCAACCTAGTTTAACATGTACAGATAAGTCTATCCTTAAATACAGATCCTCAAGGCTATAGTGTTCCCGAACTCCCAGTGATCTAGCAACAACCAGTCACTCAATTATCGCAAGGTAGCATTTCCTTGCCACTGCATTTCAGATACCACTGAACCTCATGTCGCCTGAATGAGCTTTATCTTTGCATCAGATTTTAATTACGTATGCAGCTATGACACAATATCAGAGAAGTGTATAATAGATGACTCATTTACTAGAAGAGCACTCATGCCTCGGATTTCATTTGCAAGTACCACTGCGAGGTTATGGCGGCGTTTTATTCACCTCAATTCAACCCTCGTCTGTGAATACCCACCCAGGGGAACGTCTCAAAACCCCCAAGTTTTCCAGACATGCCTCTATCATCCATTAGCTTTTCTACGCGCGAAATATGGTCTTTGGTGTCTCCTTCCCAAGTGGGTTAGGTCACCAGGCTACTCAGACTATACGAGAGAACACCACCAGAAGGCGGACCATAGCACCTTCTATGGTTGACTTGTGTTTATAGTATCAGCTGCATTCTCGCATGCGAAGTCCTGGCGCGCACAAAGCTCAATTTGTAAAACCCCTTGCCAAAATTCTAAATTTGACGCCCGTCGATACTGTGTCCTATTGAAATCTAGATATACCAGACCGAACTGCACGCAGTGCGGAGTAGACGAAGACTACTCATCTTCGATTGCTACCAGCTTTTGTGAGGCCTCGGTTGGTATAATCTCGGTGGTGTGAATGTTATTCCATCACGTAGTCAGAACATAATGTTTCTACCTAAGCGAGGTAGAACATACATAGACAATTAGGTGTAGATTAAACTCTAACACTTTCAATAAACTAAAATATAAGTTTAGTGCAACCAAAAACCTCACTGATCCTAACCTTTTATCTCTAATCCTTAAATCCCCAATATCTTTGTTGTGTGGTTCATCCGACATCAAGCTTAACGTGATGTTGGCTAAGCCTAGTTAGGTTACATAGAATTAGCCCGTGCAAATGAGGGTATCTTACTGTTACGGGCAGAACAGAGGGAGAAGAAGAAATCACGATTTAACCACCACGTTGCAAAGTAGTACTTTTGATTTATACGATACTTTGCCGTATCAAAAATCTTGCGATTCGTACAGTATTGACTTGACGGTCAACGTTCACTACTATCATTCCAGATACACCTTAGAACTTTAATTTATCCATCCTCTGCACCATTTTGTGAACTTGTCCTTATACCTCTCACGTCCATCCCAAAAGATATCTCCCAGGTTTGTGCAGCACGCTTTGCTTCCTCCGTCAGGTATAAATAACGGCGATGGCGTTTATTTGGTGACCATCTGAGGCCAGAGAAAGTCGATGAGAGGTGTGATCATTGGGATGTGGATGTACTAGGTCGTGCTTGTAGACTTGATGAAGCTTGGATAAGATTAGAACTCGTTGGGGGTGAAAATTTGACGTAGTGGAGTATTCAAATCATTGACTCGTGGGCCAACTTCTTCGGTATTGCGAAAATTGACTGAACTTCGCTCTGGGAGAACATTTCACTCCCAGGTTCGTAGATGACACCGCGTACAGGTGCTCAGTCCTTGCCCTCTAGAATTTCTTCATGTTGCTTGAAATCAGCTGTAAAATTCTCTGGATGATGTTTGAAATTGTCCTGCTTACTTCTGAATCACGGGGGACTATTCTCAACACCTGTCAGTGGTGTCCCCTATGAACCTCCTGCTCTCACTATAGAGTCTGCAGAGCCGAGATCGAGTAACAAAGTCTTTACTTCGACGAGGATCCCCAATCGCTTTCGCCGTCTGTATCGTCTTCATTTCTCAACACATTCCCCTTTCACTATTATCATGAAGCTAACCACGATCAGATCAGATGGTAGAGTCGGAGCCCTTCTCATCAACCACCCTTGATCATGGAGGAAAAGCCATCCGACGAGTTCCCGGAGCGTGCCCAGCACCCGATATGGAGATGGCGGATTGGATCAAGTAGACCTCGACTGTTACAAAGAAGGGAGATGTAGACGAATATGCGCTCCTCATGTGGTCCCGGTGTCTAGGCCTCGCCTGGCTGGGACTGCAGGTTTTATGAGACTTTTTCCCGCGCACGCAGTTTCCATTGCTACCATTTTTATTTTCTTTGGGTAGAAGGTTCCGTGGAAAAGGTGGCTGAATTCCACGGATAAATACTGAGCTGAATGACTATTCATCAAGGGGAATATAACAATGATCTTGCAAGTAACAAAAGATGATAGGAGCACTGTACAAGGTGTGACCTGGGTCAGAAAGGAGCTCAATGTGCTAGATAGTCATAGACTCAGGTAGCACAATAAACACTCACACACACTTCTGAATTACGCATTGCGGTCAGGAAATAAGGAATGAGTATAATTAATGCTGGAGCGCGTGTGATACGCGTAACCCATAAACTAATAGCTGTACCCTGCATAACCCTGATTGAAAAAATAGGTCTGTCTCAACGCAACCGTAATATATTGCCATTAACGCTGCGCAGACAATAATCGCCACCTCACACTTGACTTCTAAACCTCATGGACTCCTCTAACCTCACGACGGCAGAAGCCGATTTCTCCAAGCTTTCTACAAACGACAAGCAAGAGCTGCGACAGTTTATTGCGAACGAGAATCAAAAAGCTGTCATTCAAAACTGTACGTGCTTTACAATTTATTTTTTGCCTCCTCTCCTCTTTTTTCTATACCGTGTGGACAGACATTTTCTAATAGTACCCGGTGCCTCTACAGCTATACACGTCCTGACTGATGTTTGTTGGCGAAAATGCATACCCGGGGCAATCCGTGGTGGTAAATTGGACAAGAATGAAGAAAATTGCGCTCAAAGTTGTGTGGAACGTTTTATGGATGCAAAGTTTACGTTCCTCGCACACCTTGATAAGTTACGACAGCAGACATAGGTTTTACCGGTCAATTCAGAAATGAAGGAAAATCGTTCAATAGGTACTTTCTAAATTCACAAGTATAGTATCACCTTAACAGTCTAGAACGAGGAAATTTGAACTTCCAATCCGTGTAGCACCGAGCCGAATGTAGACAGAGGCTCCACTTCGTCAGGAAGATTTCAAACTAAGCAGTAACCTCTGATGTTGAGGTTGATAATCATTACATTTAAGACACTTTTAATCTTATTTAACAGTTATCCACTATGTTTCATCAATTGGTGGAACTATCCTTGCTACGCTCCAAACCTTCAAACTTTTAGACAATGGCAAGTTTAGTAGCCGCGATATCCAGAGCGTCAACATCCGCTGTGAGACGGGCAAATGCTTTCTTGGTTCCATCTGGCCTGTAATAATATTATTATTTATATTTTGCAATGGGCCTCTAATACTTGCCTGATCAATGTATTTATTTTAATAGTTTCAATATCATAAAGTTTTTTTAAGGCTGCTTTTATTTGAGTTTTATTTGACTTTATGTCGACGATGAAAACTAGGGTGTTGTTTTCCTCAATTTTTTTCATCGCACTCTCGGTGTTGAGTGGGTGAATGATGACTTTGTGCTCATCAAGTCTTGGTTGGTGAGGAATGGATTTCCTGGGGTATTTCGGTGATCTGGAAAGTCGTAGCGTCTTTGGCCGGTGGAATGTGGTAGTATTCCGAACCTTACGGACCTTACTGGAGTGAACCTATGCAATATTAGGTAGGTTTTTTCCAAAGTTTATATGGTAATACATACACCCTTAAGTGCCGATTTAGAAGCACCGACTGCCTGCTTCTTGCCATTTGGAGCAGCACCTGTATAATTCGCGCATCAGCAATCGCTCAGAAGAACTCGCAATAGCTGCTGCTGCTGTGCGTCATCTGTATGGAGATTCCCAACTCATGACGCAAATGTCGGAGTCTCTTAAAATAGAATTTTATCATAAATTTATGTCTATGAAGGAAATTTCATGCCTCGTAATGTTTCATTGGAAGATTTACCTTTACTGATATTCTTTGGTGCCATTTCGGAAGTTGTCGACTTGATCGATATCTATTTCTTAATATTTGGATGTAGGAAATTTATTTAAATCCGATCTCAGTGGGGATTTACAATTTCAGCGCTTACAAATTAGGACATATAAGCGAGGTTTATTCATTTCGCAGCATTTCCATTCGCTAAGGATGTTAGAGAGTGGGTGATGTAATTATTAGTCTTATTTGTCAAGCAGATACTGGAAATATGAGGAAAAGAAGATTAAAAAGACTTAAGGATCTACATCAAGGTCGACCACCAATAGTAAAATATTCGCCAACGATATCGAGCAAAGCTACTAGGGCCATCATTCGCAGACACCATACTCTTCAGAAACAACGGAATAAGTCACTAGCTGAAGGTGATATTATCAATGCTGTTGATCTTACGAACCAGATTGAACATGACGGTGGGATCGAGTTGTACCAAAGAGCAAGTCTCCTAGGTCAGTCTAGAGAAAGGGGCGGAGATAGCTCGAAGGTTATGTTAAATTGGCTGCAACCTTTATTTTCAAAGCTCGAGGTGTCAAACAGCACATCTAAGGTCCGGATTTTGGAAATTGGGGCACTTAGTGATAGCAACGCCTGTTCAAATAGCAAGTTGTTTGAGGTGGAAAGAATTGATTTAAATAGTCAATCTGAAAATATCAAGCAGCAGGATTTCATGGAACGACCAACGCCTCGCCAAGACAATGAAAAGTTTGATATAATTAGTCTCTCTTTGGTTCTTAACTTTGTTCCCGATGCTGCAGGGAGAGGCAACATGTTGAAGCGAATTTCAAATTTCTTGCGAACGTCGAAAAACTTAGATACAGAGCAGGATATTTTTCCCTGCCTATTTCTTGTTCTACCAGCGTCATGTATCACCAACTCTAGGTATATGGATGAAGCGCGACTAGATGAAATCATGACGAATCTAGGATACGTCTGCGTGCATAAAAAGTTATCGAAAAAGCTAGTTTATTACTTGTGGCACCTTAGAACACTTAAACCAGCACCGAATGCTTTCCGGAAGAAAGAAATCCGATCTGGAAAGACAAGGAATAATTTTTCAATTGTAATCAACCTATGAGATCATAATTATTTTTCTCATGAATAGCTGCGCAGCACTCCACACTGCCTCTGCCTTTAATTTGACTTCGTGATTCGTATTTGTAACCTACATTTTCATCATCCTCATCTAAATATCCATCATGCAACAACAGGCGAGAATGGGAGCTGGTGTGGTCAATTTCAGCCGTCCGAACGCTTCGAGAAACCCGACATTAATCCAAATAAACCAAACCAGTGGAGTTTAAACTACTCCTGTTAATAGAAATACGGAAATCTTACGAAAGCTAATAAAGAAGTCTAGAATTATTTACTCAATTGAATGCTATAATGGCATCACCATCACCACAAGTACATCGCTTATGCCGTAGGGGCCTTCAACACACACAGCAGGGAATCAAAGGATACGCTGACAGTATATCTCCCACTAAATAAATGATTTTAGGGCTAGAGGAAGCAGCCAAAAAGAGCCCCGTGGATCCCGCTCGAAAGACGGCACCCACAACAGCATTTGGGCTGCTCGCTACATCGTCAATGATTAAAACAGCTGTTAGAGTGTGCTTCGATGCAGTAAAAAATATACACCCAGTAAAGCTGGTCACAAGGGCTCAGAAACATAGACCAGGGGCATGCGGAGTACGGCAAATGCGGAGTACATACAGGGAAGTAGTTGTTCATTCGGCGAGCCAAAGAGGCACGGCTCTCGACATGATGGAATTGAATAACTTTCAGGTCCTATGGCAAGATTTTCCCGTGGATGTTTGCGGAATCCGATTGAAGATAAAAATACAAGGAGTTAGATTAGCCAACAATATAGCTCTAGTCAGGATGGTCCAGAAAACTACAATAGTTCGTATTCCAGGACATAACATTAACAAAGTAAGATGGATGTACATGGAAAGGAGCTTGAACGGGCCATAAAAAATGGTCGCATGAGGGGGTCGATAATTTCGAGCCTCCCTACTGAGATTATGCAAGAACAAGTGATCTTATACTTCACAGTCCTCAATTGCATGATATAATCGGTACAAGTGTGGTCTCCCTAGGCACACTCAAAGTATTGTTATAACTACAGTCAATGGGGATGTACACAAGCGTCGTGTGGAATGGAGCCCCGGTGTGGGGAGTAAGCTGGCTCTCATCAGACGCGGGAATGCCCACGGAAAAGAGTTTAACACGTTTATTGCGGCAAGAAGCATTGTTCATGACAAAGAGTAGCGTTTCGGTCATTTCAGGCCTACAAGGGGACTATTCAGAAAGCCTATTTCGAGCTCTCGGAGTAAACGGCGAAGATCTAATAGGAGAATATCCCGACAACCACAGTACAGAAAGTATCGACTGCTGATGATCAGGGATCCACTTTGGTCGCCGATAGGAAGGTTGACCTACCAATAAGGGGACCAGGACGATTACGGTAGGTGGGTGCTAATTCAACGGCCATAATACACAAGTTGAAATCCATGACGCCGGCAGCTGTAGACGTTTAAACCACAAGAAGAATAGAAAAAATGTTTAAAAAATTCTTACGTACTTCACCTGAAAAGTATCTACGGCGCTAGAAGAGATAGATTTGCGGTGATACTGAAATTAGTGGAACAAAAGTATATTTTCGGCATGAAGCTAGGATGTGCAATTATGGCGGAAATATGGGTTTTGTGGCTTGAAAGCTTTCTCCCTTCATAATATGGCTTGGCATATTCGTAGATCTGTATAATAGATACAGGGCAGGACTTCAACAAGAATTAATTAAACTATTTATTAAGAAAATAATGACCCTCAGTGATTGAGGTTGTAGGGCGCATTGATTCAAGTAATTACCAAAGTAAAACCAAGCACAGAATTTGTAGTCGCGTGTATGTCAACAACGTGGCCGACTTGATAGCCCCAATTATTCTAAATTCTAACACTATCATTATTTGTTAAAACTTAAAATAATTGTGAATATCTTTGGAAAGCTGCTAACATTGTCACGGACAAAAGAATAGGCAGAAAAAGGATTACTCAGTGTAACACCCTCAAATATCCACCGGAATTTTAGCAGGGTCCAAAGCAGTTTTACAGTTCAGATAAGAAGTAAGCACACTGGTCTTAATTCTAACATGTGTCGGAAGTCCTGGAATAGTTAATCCAAAATGCCAGTATTGTTATTCGTCACAAAATGCCAAACACATGGTCTTGGCTTGTCCTCAGTGGGCAAAGAGAAGAGGAGAGTTGCTTTGAAAGGCGGAAGATAGGTCCTTTGCGGTAATGATGAACAGCCCAGGTGGTAAGGAGGGAATCACGAAATGGATCCTGGCAAAAGGCTGGTTTGAACAATTCCGGCTTGCATGAGAATTTAAATTACATTGCAAGAAAAGGTAAGACGATGTGGACAAGGATACGACAGAATTCACAGTGCTTAAACAGTGTAAACGCACTCCCTGTAGGAAACCCCAGGAAAACCAGTAGGCATGAATCAGATAGGTTTCGGGTGTTTTTAACCGAATTAGTTTCTTTCTGCCGGTAGTTTCGGACAATCTAATTTAATTGGATCTACTATTGTGCAATGGCTTTTCTATTTCGTAGTATATTCCAAATAGATAAACTAGTATGTTATAAACAGGATATTTAAGTTCAAATGCGAAGCCAATGTGACATTATCCGGTACCATACAATCAATCGGGCACTCTTCACCTACAATAGACTGGAGGATGAAGGCTGAATACCTGTGCGCGCTGTCCTCTACGAACCTGGGAGTGAAATTTCCCCCTAGAGCCAATTTCAGTCAAAATTCGCACGACCAAAGAAGTAGGCAAAGATTCTTAATACTACTCCACGTCGTTTTTTCGCTCCCATCCAGTTAGACTCCTACCGAAGTCTCATCAAGCCTTCAAGTACGACCTAGTACATCCTCACCCCAATGACCACACCTCTCGTCGACCTTCTCTGGCCTCAGTTGACCGCCAAGTACACGCGCACGCCGATATTTATACCCGACGGAGGAGGCAGAGTGTGGTGCACAAATCTGGGAGACAGCTCTTTGGGCTGGACGTGAGAGGGATCAGGCAAAGTTGACAAGACGATGCGAAGGAAGGATATAACCTCGATGGGCGTGAAAATTCGAATCTTGGCAAGGAGTTTTTGGAAATTGTGCTTCGGTTGCGAGAGTGCAGGCGACACTGTAAACACCGCAATGGTTGGATGGTGCGGTGGTACATCGTCTTGGCCGGTCTGCTAAGTAAAGTCTGGATAGCTTGGACGCATATTCCAGTCAAGACAGTAGATCGCTGTTTCAAATCCGACAAATCACGACCACTTTTCTCGCGGCGCTGGTATACATGGATGACAAGGCATGCTTGGATAACCAAAGTTTTTGAAACGTCCCTTTGGTGGATACTTACGGAGGAGGGTCGACTGTTTGTGTAAGCAAGCATACCTCATAGTGGTATTTGCAAATGAAATCCAGAGTATGAGTGTCTCTAACGTCAAATGAGTCATCCCACATGTATACGTAGCACCGGTCATGTGTCATAGCTTTATAGCTGAATAATATGAGCGGATGCATATTTAAGTATAGTCAGCTCTAGTTATGCAGTCATGTAATATATAAGGACCGGGAGTTATGCAGGCATCCAAGGTGATCCGTGCATACATACATATAAGAGGGGCGGTCTTTCTGGTTGAACCTTGATAGAGAACCTTAGTGATTTAGTTGTAGTACAAGATTGAGCCAATAACGTTTACAAATATACCTTAAATGATTTAAAAAAAAGGTATGGGCTGGGTCAGAGAGGAGCCCAATGTGCTAGAAATTCTATGACTCAAGTAGTACAATAAACACACTTCTCTCTCTCCGTCTCTCAAAGAAAAGTACATAAAAGATGACTCAATTTACTAGAAGAGCACTCGTGCCTCGGATTTCATTTGCAAGTACCACTGCGAAATTATGGCGGCATTTTCTTCATCTCAATTCAACCCTCGTCTGTGAATACCCACCCAGGAGAACGTCTCAAAAACCCTGAGTTATCCAGACATATCTCCATCATCTTTCAATTTTTCTCCACGCGAAATGTGGTCTTAGGTATCTCCTTTCTAAGTAGGGTAGGTCACCAGGCTACTCAAACCATACCAGAGAACATCACCAGGATGCGGATCACGAAACCTTCCATCGTTGTTACAGGCTAGTGCCTAGTTTAGTTATAAGCGGGGTTTATCCAGTTCATTTATCGAGAAGTCTTAGAGTACATGGCTTGGCTGGATTACAGGGTTGTGCGAAGGATAACTCCTGCATATATCCATACGCGACGCGCGGTATCGAGTAGATAAGCATGTAGTCTTCGTAGTACTTCTTTATACAGAATATAAATTAATTTACGACATACTTTCATGCGAATAGCTAATATGATTAGTCCCTCCACAATTGTTTGCTCTTTTTTTTTTCAAAAAAACCAATGAATTTGTATGCAGCTATAAAGCTATGGCACATGACCGGTGCTATGTTTACATATTGGATGACTCTTTCAACGTTAGACAATCTCATCGTTTGCTCGTGTTTAAAGTGTCAGCTGCTCTCTCGCAATCGTAGTCTTGGCACGCACAAAGCTCAATTTGTAAAACTCCTTTCCAAAATTACACGCCCGTTGAGATCGTATCCGACGTCTGCATCATCTTATGAACTTGTCCTAATCCTTCTCACGCCCATCCCAATGAACTGTCTCCCATATTTGTGCGCCACGCTTTGTTTCCTTTGTCGGGTGTAAATATCGGCATGGGCGTGTATTTGGCGACCAGCTGAGGCCAGAGAGAGTCAATGAGAGGTGTGGTCATTGGAATAAAGATGTACTAGGTTGTACTAGGTTGTAGTTGTAGACTTGATGAGGTTTAGGTAGGAATCGATCTCTTTAGGAGCGAAAGATTGACGTGACCGAGTATCTTGGATCATTACTCGTGGACCATGTTCTTTGATACTACGAAATTCGACTGAACTTGGGTCTGAGAAAATATTTCACTCTCAGGTTCGTAGAGGACACCGCGTACAGGTGTTCAGTCCTTGCCCCCCACGTACACACCAAGTTACTGCCAGCAATATGTCGTCCATAATTCTTACTGCTCACCTCTCTTCTATCCTTCCTAAGTATATGTGAGTAATTGAGTCAGATGTCAATTAACGCCAGGCAGGCTCACAGGCAAGGCCCGTCCTCTGAGCCATGAGGTTTCTGAGGGCGCGTTTTATATTATTTTTATTTATCTTTATTTAACGTCTGGCGGATCACGCGTCAAGCGAGTAACCCTATTAAGTCCCTACTGAGACAAAAGACGCTCTGAGGGCGCGTTGTGTACTTGGAAAATGGTGGGGTGGGAGTAAGAGTGAACTATTATCACGTGGTGTCTCGTGACTCCTAATAACAACGGATCATGTGTAGAGCTTGAGACTAATATACGAACTCCATATCCCGTAAACGGAGGATATTTATACGCCTATATACATCAATATCCTGTTATCCCTCGACTCCAACGAGATCTGCTCTTATGACTGTGCGATCTGATCGTGTGAGATCATATGGCATCAGCAGTTTGTCGATGTGCCGTACATCCAAAATCTGATCAACCCGTGACTATATAGATCTCATCAGGATCCACAGCCCTCAGGAGAGCGCTTGGTGCGCCTGCGCGGTCAAAGGCTGCCAGACGTGTCTATCATCCCATTGACAAAACTTTTCTATCTGCGCTAGCACCACAGTGGTCAGCCATAACCTCCTGCGACCATAGCCAATTCCTCACAATGTGCTTTATCACACGTTGAGTCTCTACCTTTTTTCCAAAAAAAGAATTGCCCAGAACGCCAGGCCCCAATTATTTCGGAAAGTTACAAGACCAACCCGTGTGATTGTGTACTATTGCACCTTTTCCGAATGCCCTTGATCCTGCCGCTGACCCAAGAGTTCACTTTATATTGCTCTCCGGGCCTCGTGATGTTCTGTGGCGCGGTTTACGTATACTGCTAAATCTTCGGCACCCAGAAGGATGTTCAGGCGATTCTTCTTCTCCAGTCGCAAAAGAGGACTGCATCTTCATGTTTAAATTTTCTGTGATAAGCGGGGAATCCACCATGCGATAAGCGCGCCGCTAGTATTGAGCGTAGATTTCTTCTGGATAAATATCGGAAATCTGCCGGCGCTCTTACTCTCCAGAGACTATGTGGAAGATTTTATCACCGTCTATCAGCTGATCAAGTCACGTGACACAATGGATTATCCATAATAATCCGGCAGTTTATGAAATTGAGTTTGTTATCCTAATTTGGCACCTTGCGGACCCATGCGGGTGGATGCAAACCTATCTATATATTTAAATATATAGGAGGATACCTCTCGAAAGGAAGCCTCCTCAGCCCTCTGATTGACTCCTTGAAATTTGCAGATTATCCTTCAGGAGGCACAATTACACTATGATGCCGTCTTTTTGTACCAATCACGTCCCCTGTATCGACCCCAACCTTGTGCCGATCCTATCTCGTTCCCTGAGCAGTATTTCGACCTCATTTATCAGGCGAATATGCTCTATCCAACCATGACCAAGGGTCCATTGCGTAATTCTTTAGATGTCGCCAGGATTGTTACTCACTGCTTTAATGGGCCGGTCTTTGGCTTCCGTTCAGATCTCTCCTTTACTATTTGATCTCCCAGGGCCGTTGATGATCGTGTGCTTGAGAGTTTATGATTGGTAGCCACACGGATAACGTGGAAAGTAGACTCCCGGTACTTCTAAGTAAATACGAATTAAGTCCGGTATGCCCGCCTCGAATTTGGATTGCTAGGCTGCTTTGGGCCCTTGTCGTGTTTTTGTGGAGAGAAGATGTGGATTCCTGGAAGTTTATTTTATGTCGTCCAGAATGTCGGTGTTGGTAGAACTTAGCTGCTCTCCCAGGTTTCAGGATCTGCTGTTGAATTCGTTCTATGGCGGGTAATCTGACAGTTTATTAACGTTCTAGGCAAAGTGCCTCCCATCGCAGTCCTATTGTACTAAAGCACGAGTGCGGCCGGGCCGGATCAAGTTAACTAAATTCAAGTGCAAGTATGCGTCGTCCCACCTCAACGACCAGAATAATGCCGATCCCCATGTATTGAATCATGTCGAGTTCAGCAGCCCACAATCAAAACAAAAGAAAACTTCCTCGAGAACTCCTGCACTACAAAGAAAAATTTAAAATACACCCTTCCGGCTTTGTGCCCAAGCCACCATCCGCCTGAGCCTCCTCTCAGATGAAAATATATTTAATTCCTGTAACTTACAGCTTCCAGTCGAGTGCACATTCGCTAATGTGCTCCTAATATTAGGGGTTTTCATTGAGGATCAGATGTATCAATGATCACCATAGTCAAGGAACTTAGAAGGCAGCCTCTAATCAAAGACTAAAGATGTGGTTTGAGTTCAGCGTTCATCGTGATTCTCATACCAAAAGACATAACCCATCGCATTCCTACTTGAGCTGAAGCACTAGCGGGGTCGGGCCGGATCAAGTTAACTACCGTAGAAGCATAAATATACCCCCGTTCCACCTAAATGATCGGAACAATGCCGATCCCTATCTATGTATTGAATCAGGTCGAGTTCAGCAGCCCATAATCAAATCTAAGGAAAACTTCCATGCGAACTCGCGCATTACCGAAGAAAAACTTGAACATCCTTCCTTCCTTCCTTTTGCCTCAGCCACTACACGCCTGGGCCTCTTCTCATGTGGATTCAGTTTAACTGTCACAACCATTGGCTAACCTTTTCATTTTATCCCCGGCATCATCACTCCACATCAATGCCCCGGCTTTCAGCTGCATATATTTCTCTACCGCACTTGCAATGCAGGACATGCTGTGAGACAGCCAAGATGTTGCGAAAATTTCCCGTGTCCTGTTCGAGCTGCTGTAAGGCGAGAGTATACAGCTCCGAGTTGGTCGGGCTCTCCGAAGTTACTTGGTACCGTACTGCGCGCTGGAGCGTCGGGTAGTTCTATCGGGACTAGGCCGTCCGGTACTTGACTAAAGCCACGAGCTGTACCTTGACACGACGTTAAATTTTTATCAAACTCAAACTCCAACCGTTCACGTATAGATCGACAAAATACGTTATTGTTTGGTTAAATCGTTCCATTAACGCCCAACTAATTTGGAAAAAAAAAACTTAATCTGTACTCAGCTGTCTCACTTGGATGCATGACCAGTGTCTTGTGTAAATGTTATATGACTTTTGATTACTGAGTGTATTTATCGTGTTACTTGAGTCATAGACTATCTTATACATTATGCTTCTCTGTAACCCAGGCCACACCTTGTGCGGTGCTCCTATCCCCTTTGGTTATTTGAAAGATCATTGATACATTGCCCATGATATATAGCCATTCATCTTAGTGTTTACCCGTGGCTCTTAATCACAGAGACACCTGTACTCAGCATCTATGTCGCAGATACCACTTGGAGATAAATTTCCCTACCAATTTAATTGCATTTGGATAACAGCACTATAAATTTTCACGTCAATGTTGATCGATTTTGATCGAACATGGTTTTGGGATAGCTTGGATTATCATATCTACAAAATAGGTCGAACACTTATTGTCCAAACCTGGGTCACACACTCTAGCCCGACATCGCGCGGCTATTGACGGTTTAGCGATACGCCCGTGCTACTGAATATTGATCTACGTTCAAAGCCACACCTACACCAGCGGGACCCCCATTTCGGACGGGGGTAGTCTAATTTTTATAGCCAAGTCCACATTTTCCCCTTGGCATATCGTCTCATTCTGTAAAATCTTGGAATCAATCGTATATAATTTAATTATCAGTACAATCCACTCAAAGCATAACACACATCTATTCCTTAACTCAACACACCCACACCGTACACTACGCTGACTTAATTTTGGGCTATGATCATCAACCGAGTATCGTCATCTTGAAAACAAGCACTCAAAGCAATCCACCAGGAAGTTGGAATCAAGGATCACTTATTACTCCTACTTGGATTTTGTAATTTATTTTCGGAAGAATTGATCAGATTAACGGATTCTAACATATAAAACCATATAAAACATCATGTTTTCGAAGAAAGAAGATAATGCTCTTCAGCCTCCATACGAAACCACTGATCAAGGACTCTCAAGCTCTTGGGGCCGTCAAAATATCAGCTGGGACCCAGCTTTTGGCTCTTCCGAATCTTCTGCCTTTCTAGACGCCCCGGAGGAAGATAATAGAGCTTCAATGACAGACCACCTTGAGGACTCACCGAAAAACCGACGGTAGGTCATAATTGTATCCTGTTATTTCTGCTAATTTTTTGATAGGCCCTCAATTGGCGTCCGATTCAACTCTTTAACTCAAAGAGGCGGGGTTAACAGCATAGAAAATTTTGCCCGAAGTTGGACCCGAGCTGCATCCTTTATGGAAGTAATCCCAAATCAACAGCCTTTCTTAATAAGGAATGAAGGGGAGCAACAAGAATATGAAGATCCCTTCAGGGACACTAGAGATACAGAAGCTGCTCAATTATCAATCACAGACCTCTGGACTCATCAAACAGATGCAAGCCAAAGAAGCCACACTATTAATGCCAAAAACCTGGCAGACGCCCATCAACTATCTTTACCACGAGGATCCAAGTCATTACTTCCGCAACGTGAGAATCTGAAATCAATGGATAGTCTTCTCGGTGCAGATTTCAACTCTGCAAATACGTCCTCTTTGCCTGGCAGCCTAGACACCTCTTACGGAACTATGCAACTTGACCTTCCAAACTCTTCCAGGGCAAATGTTGGTGAACTTTGGAGGCAGAAACAAGAAAGTGTATCCCGAAAAAAATCACACAGCGACTTAGGTGAGAGGGAGCCAGTATTATTAAAAGAGGTAAAGCAGGACGGCAAAACAGTACTTCATGTCGCTGGACAGTCCACATATCCTCAGACTGTTTTCAACTCCACCAATGTTCTAATCGGAATCGGTATTTTAAGTCTTCCCCTCGGGTTTAAATATGCAGGGTGGATACTTGGCATGGTCATTATGCTTTTGTCCGCATCAATAACAGCTTACACAGCAAAGCTGTTGTCAAAATGCATGGACGTTGATCCAAGCATATTGACGTTCGCTGACATTGCATTCGTTTCATATGGTGAAAAGGCCCGGATGGCTACCAGTTTCCTTTTCACCATAGAGTTAATGGCTGTCTGCGTAGCACTCATTGTTGTTTTCTCAGATACTCTCGGACTTTTAATTCCCGAGGTCGGTGTTCTTCAATGGAAAATTCTTTGTGGCCTCTTTCTGATACCCATGGGTTTTTTGCCACTACGACTACTCAGCTTCAGCAGCGTTATTGGGATATTTTCGTGTCTTGCTAGTAAGTAACAATTAACAATTAACTCTTATCTCGCTTCTCATTCTGTCCTGAGATTATTAAGTGGCTTACTAAATTAGTTGTGCTTATCATCTTTATCGATGGAATCATTAAACCCCATAGTCCTGGGTCATTAATAGAACCAGCAACCACTTACCTACTCCCTAAAAATTGGCTTGCTCTTCCTCTATCATTTGGACTGCTCATGTCTCCATGGGGAGGTCATTCTGTTTTTCCCAATATATATCGAGATATGCGTCACCCTAACAAGTTCATGCGTGCCGTCAAGGTTTCTTTCACCTTTACCGTGAGTGAACCGTGCAATTTTACTTGGACTGTGCTTATGTGATGTAGTACCTGTTGGATCTATTTACAGCCGCTATAGGTATCCTTATGTTCGGCGATGCTACCTCAAATGAGATATCATCTAATATTCTCAATATGTCTGACTATCCTCCTACTTTATCGATGTTCTTATCAATATTTATTGCAATTATACCAATAACCAAAGTTACTCTCATAAGCCGGCCTATCGTTTCGACAATCGAGGTTTTAGCAGGCATCACTACGCCCTCATCAGTGAACCTAGAAGATAACACAAAGCAATCTTCTCTGAAAAGGAACATATCCAAATTCATAGTGCGTGTGACAGTAATAGTTGTTTTTGTGCTCGTCTCAATTCTTTTCCCTGAATTTGATAGCCTAATGGCATTTATGGGCAGCGCACTTTGCTATTCAATTTGTGTGATACTTCCTCTTCTTTTCTACGTCAAACTCTTCGGCTCGAGGATAAGTCTAAGGGAATTAATCTTCTGTCGCTGTCTGATAGTGATCTCTTCGGTTATGGCCTTTTTAGGGACGGTTTTTGCATTCATTCCGAAGAGGTTTATTGGTATCTAGCTTTATGTGTTGAAGGGCTAAACTGCTGTAATTTTTTCTCTCATGAGAGTATTTAACTGGACGCAAGAGAAAATATAGACTTTGAACCTGGGCACAATTACGTCCACCTGATGTCGTCTGAATGGTGATTCTTGCCGACAAACAATTGTTTTGGACTTCTAAGCAGGGGTTCAGAGATCCGGAATCTCTTTTAATCCAACAGTGCAAAAGCTTTTGAAGGATAGGGGTGCGACCTGGAGCTCTCTGACTGGTTCGAGGTGTAGGACTTCACGCACTAGGGCCTTGGCACCCACACAATATAATTCTCTATAGATAGCTCAGGTAGAGAATAAACAAATAAGTAACCAACCATTATCTATCTGCCAGAAGATTCAGTCCGTGCGAAAATAAATTAGTGATCCTAAAAACCGCGGAAAGGCAAGGTATTCATGGAAGATGTATTGTGATGACTTTACCTACGTACAACTGTATTAATTACGATAAAAATGCGACGGTACTTATTCGGGTTCACCACGTAGGAATAAGCCACAATTTACTCGATACGCTACAACCTCAATGACTGAGGAGGTCGAAGGCTGAGCACCTGTCAGTGGTGTCCTCTACGAACCTGGGAGCGAAATATTCTCCCAGAGCCAAGATTTAGTCACGAAAAAGGGTGGAATGAATTTTATTTGATGGATTTTCGACTTGAAGGAGTTGCACTTGATATTTTGGTAGAAAAATCAGCCGGCAGAGATTTCACAGCCGCAACAAAAATGAACAAAAACTCATCACTACCAACATACGATTCACGAATGGATTTAGGTCTGTCTGAGGGTTGTATTCAAACATCCGACATCTCTCAAACTCCTTTTATATTTGCGACGAAGCATTTCTCAGTCGATCCTATACCTGCGGCCCACTTCCATACTCGTCAGCTCACCTACCTACAAACGCCCTAATGAGGAAAGTCATGATAGAAACGGGATGTGTACAAAGGAGGAAAAAGGGGGAAGGTACACCGATGGGATTACACAAATCCCCAATGACGAAAACAACCCAGCAGTACGATATGAAGGTGCAAGGCTAGAGCAACGATGAGGTTTTGGACGGCATCTACATTTCGGAGTCAATGAAGATGTTAAGGGCTTGGGCGCGTGGTGGCCGAGGCTGAGGAGGAAATTGTGCTACGGCGTGTCGACAGCGGGTTTCTGGACGGTCAGACTTGGTATGATTTAACACATAGGTGAAGTCTGATGTAGTCCTGTCATTAAAGTGGGACGAGGTTTATCTGTACTTCACAGTAGTTAACCTGATACAGCCCGACCCTACTCGTGCTTAAGCTCCAGTTGGAGTGCAACGGTAGTCATGTAACCTAGCACGTTAATGAACAAAACAAAACAAACCCTCAATGACTGAGGAGGACGAAGGCTGAACACCTATCGGTGGTGTCCTCTACGAACCTGGGTGTGAAATATTCTTCCAGAGCCGAGATTCAGTCACGAAAAAGAGTGGATTTGCGAGTTTTCGTCGATTTGGCGATCGGGAGGAGTGGTGTTGGCTCATTTTTGGTCGAAAACCCGACTTGCAGAGATTTCACGACTGCACAACTCAACGAAATCAATCATCTACACCCCAGATACGAACCGCAGACAAGCTATAACCTGTCTGATGTTCGTATCACAACAACCTGTAACGGCTGGTAAGCCGATTGGTCCCTGTAGCCTATGTTGGTTAACTTAGGCCTGATTCGAGTGGCGTTATTAATGACTACTAATGCGCTAATATGCGACGCCACCCAATACAATACTTTTGCGTCAGCATTTGCATGGTATTCACATGGAATCGGACTCGGCAGTGCGGCACGGCAGTACGGCACTGCACCACATGTTGATAGGCTTACACTGACTGGGAATATACGACACCGAGTACAATCCCTCCGGCCTATAACACGATAGTGCTGTATTACAGGCATAGTCAGAACACTAGGGGAGTCCCATAGCATAGGAACAGGAGAGGGATCAGCCTCGATGGCGAGGAGGCTTTCACGTATATAAATGAATAGATAGATGTAGTGGAAGTTCTCTCCTTAGAATTACTATTTACTACCATCGACCACATAGTTGCTCCAGCACCTGTCCCTCGAAACCGTGACACAACTGACACCTTCAAGATCTTATTTTCTTTTTCTCCGGAAAATCATTCCCAGCAAAACTCATCTCGCGGCCCTCTCCACAATCATCTCACCACCTACCGAAGCAATCCCATACCTCCAAAAGCCAAATCGCCATCAAAGAAGCAAGAGGATGTCCGACCCTCCGCAACTGCCAGTCACTGTGAAGGTACGGTCGAACTACCGGCCTTAAATGCGTCCTCACCTCGGCCAAGGGCGCCAACAACTCGACCTACGACGAATTGCCACCGACGAATCGCCACCGACGAAATACGCACGACATTTCGCCAGCACACTAGCTAGAGCGTTCGACAAAGGCTGGGGCACCGGTGCCTCGGTCTTGAGCTCTCAGTCGCGTTTTCGACCTGTACGGTTAGGGGTACGGCAGCGATGGGGCAAGGCCGGAGGGGTGGAAATTCTACAAAGTTTCTGGGATGACGATATCGGCTAAGGACAGAGGGATGCTGCATGAAGGCACAAAAGGGAATAAAAACTGAGGAGGCCTTGGTGGGCGACTGGATGAGGCCTCCAGTGAAGAAAACGACCCCTGGATGAGATGAGGAGATGCTGAGGAGAGCCAAAGCTGGGAATGAATCGAAGGGAAAAGTTACAGATGGCGAAGGTGTTAAGGGCTCGGGCGGGTGGTGGCCGAGGCTGAGGAGGAATTTGCGCTTCGGCGCGCCAAAAGGGGGTTCTCTGGACGGTTGGGCTTGACATGATTCAACACATGGGTGAAGTCTGAGGTGGTCCGGTCATTCAGGTGGGACGAAGTAGATGAACTTAATAGTAGTTAACCTGATCCAGCCCGGCCCCACCCGTACTTATGCTGCCATGGAAGTGCAGAGGGTGCTAATGGTCTAGAACTTCGATATACAAAACAAATCAGCTTATGCCGCCGAAATCCCGAAGTCAGCCAAGCGTTTTATCAATAGAGTCAACCTAGTCCTAACCAGTACGAACAGTCCTGTACCTCTTATGATTTAGTGACATCACCCCTATCTCCACTCTTCAAAGAGACGCACAAAAAACCCCCTGAGATCTCGCAGTCGATAGACTAAGGTCAATGAGACGGGCAACTTTGTGTATGACACATAAGCTCCTCTAGCCACCTCTTGTCGACCGTTACCAACGATTCCAATCCACTCCGAATCTTTTCTGCATGCTCAGACAACCAAGAGAATCTTTGTTTAGTCCTGCTACATTTGACATGAAGATAGAAAAACTTAGAATACCAGATGATTAATGCTCTCTGATCAAGCATATTAGCACATAAACTTTTAGTGAACTCCCAGAGAACCCTAGTAGCAGAAAACTCAATGGGTACGTCCTCGACTGCATGATTCAGTGTCAAAAAGTCAACCAGAATCTGAATATGCTGGAACAACTCAGCTAGGATAGTGTGTACACAAACGTAATCAGATTACGGGTTAGGATTTTTATTCGGGTATGTCTCTCTCCTCTCTAGCTAGAGAATACATCCTCTCCAAGTTAAGTTTTGCCGAACAAAGACGAATTCTTCACCTATCAGTGGTGCCGGTGTAATCGCTCAGTATGCTCTGCATATCTGGGTTAGCCAAGAAGAATTGCATCCAAATCGAAGTCGAAAGCACTCGCAAGCACATCTAATATCGACGACTCATCGTCGATGTCGGACCTATCATTCTCACGCGAGTCCTCCACCTCAATCTTACCACACCACCTCGCCTCAAATACCGATAATGTCGTTACTTCAATTGCATTTGGGCATTTGCCTCTTCAAAAACCGGCCATCTTCCACCACACATTTACGATGCTATGTATACCCGCGAGGAGAAATTGAATTCATAATCTACAAAGCTCGGGTCTTGGTCTATGGGGTGCTGATGCTCTAATGGGGTTACATATCTTGAGCAAGGACAGGCAGCTGGGACGTGGGACGAACGAGTGAAGAGGTCACAAATGAACATGCTAGGACGCACATTTTTCGAGTGTCTTCCACCTAAGATTGTCTGTGGGCGCAGAGGCAACGATTTTGGATAGTGCAACCGACACTCTAAAAATAGGCAACGATGGAAGGTAATTTGGTCCGCCTCCTGGTCGTCATCTCCCCGAATTAAAGTCTGGGTAGCCTGGATACCTACCTCACTCGAGAAAGGGAGGACTGTGAGGCCATATCTCGCGCGGCGGCTATATACAAGATGGCAAAGGCATGTTAGGGTAGCCAAAGATTTTTAATGTTTTGCCTTTGGTGGATATTAACGGTTGAGGGAAGGGCGAAAGTCCCAAGCACCAAGGTCTCGAGTGGTATCAGCGAATGCATCCACTACATGAGTAGTCCAAATTTTAAACCGAGTTATCGTCGTATATAGTCGCCGGAGAAGCTATTCTTCTCCGTGTCATTCTCTCTGAGTGCAGGGCTTGTGCCCGTCACGAATAAATTTTCATCTTCATCTTCATCTTAAGTTCTGCCGAATTACGCTAGCTAAATACATCATGTCTAGTTACACACCCACGTGATATTTATACTGGTGCGCTTGTCATCATAGCCAATGTTTCATTAGGACAAGGCGCAGGGCGGATTTGTTCGGACGCCATTATTTTTCATTTTATAATCTGTCTATTTTTTTTTTATACATAGATTCTCTGGCAAGAAAAGCCCTTCATGTAGGTAGTAGTGAGTTCGCATGGATCACATACCCGTATCACGTCTCGTGGGTGTAGGGCTTTTGCCTGACACGACTAGAATATATACAAACATAGCCAATGTTTCAAACTCAGGCAATTCTTTCCTTAGAAGAATAGTAGAATACTGCCGACTTTAATAAATAGATTAAAAGTTCAACCTCTTCTAAAATTTCTCTCTCTTTAC